TTTAACCGGATAATGTCATAAATAAATTTTGTTAAATAATTTATAATAAATAAAATTTTTACATACAAAATACGTAATAATTACTGCAAGTGATAAAAACACACAGCTACAATTGACAGGTTGAAAGAACGAGATTTTCTGCCTTGGTGTCATTTTTACGTCTTTGTATAATTTAACTTATAAATATATTTTTCGGTTATTCACGCCGTCAGTCCACCAAGTGGCAAACATTTCCAGTTGGACTTGGACGTTGAGGGTTCGATTCCCACATCTCCCCCCTTTCTTTTCTTTCTAAAAGGTAAAAACCTCATTTTCAATCCCTATATTTAAAAAAAAAATTTGTCCTTATGCTTATAAAATTATTTTTAATCCTAAAATTTACTTTTTAATCATTTTCTAGCCCTTTCATTATCTTTTTGCTGAGATGGCCTGTTAGTTAAGAGAACAAGTTGATTTTTTTCCATAAAAAAGACATGGAAATGCCAATGTAAGAAAAAATTGTTGATGTGGACCAAAAAATTATATTTTTCTCCACAAAATGACTCGGAAATGCAATACTAAAAAAGATGATAATGTGGGCAAAAAAAATATTAAACTATCATAATAATTTTGTTAGACCCAATTAATATGTAATATTTAATTATTTACTCCTTTTTAATTAAATTTAATAATTTTAATGTAATTTTTTTTATTTTTTAAACATAAATTTTATATAAAAATTTTAAACATTTTCAACACAAATTTTTGTTCTTTCCACTCCTCTACAAAATTAAATTTTCACAGTAAATCTGTTCTCCTCGTTCCTCCACACATTTCAATTCCAAATCAAATTTATTCCCAAAATCTTGAGCAATGTCACCTCCTCCACTAATTTCAATGATTGCTTAACCATGAAATCCAAGATCAATGACAGAAAATCCTACATCTAGTACCCAAGCCAAGAATGCTGAAGCAAAAAAGAACAAAAGAAAAAGAAAGAACCAAAGAAACCCATATTAGAGTAAAGATAACAAATGAAGAAATTTAGAAAAAGTCAAAAGGAGAGGTACAGAAAAAACTCAAGGAACAAATAATAATAATAATAGACCAGCTCTATATCAAATTTAAAGAAGAACTCAAATTTCTTTTTATCAACTATTTCTTGATTTATACAAGAAAAAAAAAAAGACAATAAAAAGGTGATCCTTAGGAGTTGGGTGTTAGAAACCGAGTAAGCAATGGTGAAGTACCTGAAGCCAAATCCAACCCATTGTGTTTGAGGTTCACCATCATCTTTCAAGGCCACCATCATCCTTCAAGATCGTTGATTAAAAGCAATTTATATGTTTTTGTATATTATTTTAACTTTAATTTTATTACTATTTACATGGACAATATGTATTTTCAATAATTTTTACATAATTTTCATTTTTTGTGCACAAAAGACTTGATGCATAATAATATGAGTTTTTGGGATTAATCAAATATTTTTTGAAAGTTTAGAGATTAAATTGCAAAAAAAAAGTTCCCTTTTGGGATCTAAATGAATGAATTTTAAGTTATGGAATTACAGTGTTTATTATATAAAGATGGAGGATCAGATCTGCTAGTTTACTATAAAAAAATTGCAAAAAAAGGCCAAAAACCCGACACGGGTACGGTGTGGACACATAGTTGGTGGTATCAGCACCTGCGTTAAGCCCTGCAAAAGAGATTCGCTTGAAATAACCAAAAGCGCGTCCAGCATTATGCTTAGTTTGACAATGCTCCTGCAGCATTTTTCTGTAATTTATATATTTAGTAAATTATTTATTTTTATATTCTTAGAAAGGTATATCAAAATTATTTTATCTAAAATTAATAAAATTTTTAAATTTTATTCGTACATCATATATTAAATTATTAATTAATTTGATTTAAAATAATAATATATTTAATTGAGT